CTTCTTCTTCTTCTTCTTCTTCTTCTTCTTCTTCTTCTTCTTCTTCTCCTCCTCCTCCTCCTCCTCCTCCTCCTCCTCCTCCTCCTCCTCCTCCTTTTGTTTGTTTGTTTGTTTGTTTGTGTTTTTTTGAGTCAGGGTCTCTTTGGGTTGCCCAGGCTGACCTTGATTGCTTGGGATCCAGGGATTTTCCTGCCTCAGCTCCCACTCCTGGACCAGCATTACTTGTACTATATTTTGAGTATAAGTCATTTAATAGAATTGTTCAAAAGGCATTTATGTGCATGTCATACATAGTTTTTCTCTTCTCTCTCTCTCTTTCTTTTTCCTTTTTTCCTCTCTTTCTCTTTCTTTCTTTCTTTCTTTCTTTCTTTCTTTCTTTCTTTCTTTCTTTCTTTCTTTCTTTCTTTCTTTCTTTCTTTCTTTCTTTCTTTCTTTCTCATCACAGTATAGCCGGTAGCTCTTCCTCATGGCTATCTACATGGGCTGGAGGGTTAGTCACCAGTTAAGAGCACTTGCTGCTCTCAGAGAGGACCTAGGTTCAGTCCCCACACAGTGGCTCACTACCTAGAGTCTGTAACTCTAGTTCTAGGGAATCTAACGCCCTCTTCTGGCCTCTGTAGGCACCAGGCACACATCCATACAGACAGGCAAAAACACTCATGCATATAAAGTAAATCTACAATTCTTAAACGATTTCCTTTTAGAATATTAAGTCTTCATTAGTCTAAAACAAACATATTGAAACGTATAAAGCAACCATGTATATTATAATTTCTATACGTACTTATAGTTCCAGCTCTCAGGGAACTTTTTCAAGAAAACTATGAGAATGAAGCCAGTCTGGATTACAAAACAAGACTCTGTCTTGAAAAACAACTAAAGGTAATTTTCTAGTTTGCTTTCTACTGCTATGATAAACACCATGACCAAAGCAACTTGAGGAAGAAAGGGCTTATTTCGATTTACAGTTTATAGTTCATCCCTCATGGGGGGGATCAGGGCAAGAACTCAAGGCAGGAATCTGGAGGTAGGAGCTGAAGCAGAGGCCAAGGCCAAATGCTGATTCCTAGCTTGCCCCAAACAGCTCACTCAGCTCACATTTTATACAACCCAGCTAAATTTCTTTTCTTTTCTTGTCTGTTTTTGAGACAGGGTTTCTCTCTGTAGCCCTGACTGTCCTGGACTCACTTTGTAGAGCAGGCTGGCCTCAAATTCAGAGATCCACCTGCCTCTGCCTCCCAAGTGCTGGGATCAAAGGCATGCGCCACCATGCCCGGCCGGCTCCAGCTAAATTTCAAATTACATTTTTATTTTATATGAAAGATATTTTCATCTTGTATAAATAAAACCTTCCTCTCCGAACTTCAAAACAATCAGTATCATATTTAGTTATTCAAAAGAAGAATGTCTTTATTGATTGAAATTTGAAACTGAAACTTTCTAGTACAAAGTAAAATAGTTATAAATCAATTAATTTCATTCTAAAACTCTTGCTAGACTACATAAAAATATTTTTCACTGATCCAAATCATCATGTTTGGGATGTGGTTGGTTTTACTTATTATTTTTATTTTTTTGAGGTTGTTTGTTTTTGAGTCTAAGTCTCATTCAGTCCAGGTTGGCTTCCTGAACTTGACATTTAATTAAGAATGGTTTGAAATGCCTCATTCTCCTGCCTCTATCTTCTAAATGCTGGGCTTATAGGAGTGCACCACCAGGTTAAGTCTCAATTAATGATGTTCTGTTTGTTCATTTAAATTTATTTATGTATTTATGTATTTATTTATGTATTTATTTATTTATTTATTTATTTATTTATTTATTTTGATGTGTGTGTGTGCGCACGCGCGT